TTTCCATATTAGAATGTTTATCTTTGTTCATGTTTTGTGCAACAATACCTTTTAAATTCAACACTTTAGGCAAGCATTTCATCTTCCAGATTTTTAAGCTTGCAGCTGCAACCATAACCAAGAAAAAAGCCCCAAAGTGAGACTGAAATGAACTTACTCTTCTTTACATGTATGAGGTGACTTTCAGAAGATACAAAATCAGATTCAAGAATGCCTAAATGAAATCCAAATCAGGCCATTAAAACTAAAAACCAGAAAATGTGAAAAGGAAAAACAGAAAAAACATTAGAAAAAGTTGAAAATAGGAAGACGAGAAAAGTAAAGGAAGAGGGGAGCAGGTGGAAGAGAAAAAAACTTTGTCCTACCTGTGTCATAGACAATGGTGGTTTCGGACTAGCCCAAAGTGTCATGTGTCTTGACTGCGTTTCCATATCCCACATAGATATCTCGTTGTTGCCATTCACAGCAGACACCACCCATGATCCTTCCTTTGGGTGCATACTTACTCGACGTACACCAGCTCCTACAGACACATATGTGGAATCAGTATCACTGTCATTCATAATAATAATCATCTCAATGAAACAGACAGACCACCATAATTTACATTAGCCTTACTAAGGCTACTTTCTACTAAAATGCAAATTCATGTTTACTTTTCAGTCTCCCCACAGGATAGATAATACTAATTACCACCTAGTGATCTAATGTCCTTGTTTAGATTACTTGAAAGGAGAAAATACCAACATTAACCACATACTGGACATATCACTACCTCAGAAAAAATAGAATATAAGATTACTAACAACTATAAACCAAGTCATATCAAACTTAACAATAGATAAATAATTCAAAACAAGAAGAATGACACTGGGGTACTTAGTTTAATTGCTTTTCCTAAAGTCTTACCTCTTGGATGAGTAATGGTAGATATCGGCAGCATGAAGCGCAGATCCCAGCACACATGGTGGCCGCTGCTTGTCCCAACAGCTAGCCAGCTCTGAGTTCCCTCCAATGCATATGATGTAATAACACCTGTGGATTAGGAGTATGTATATTATGACCATCCATGAAGGCTACTTTGATATGTCTTCTATAATTTCCATGTTTTAGCATTTAAACACTTTTCATCTCATTTCTATCATGAACATTAAGGATAATACAAATCATGGTATAACTTTAAAGATAACCTATAATTCATCTTCAGTAATCCCAGTTCCATTACAGTTTGATAAAATTGCTGATATCCACCTAATTCATAAACTCCCCTTTTACCATAATTCATCTGGAAGTGCATGCATATCCTTAATTTATATATCATATATGGATTGTGAATATTTTGTACAAACACTGATCTCTTTCACTCCTTCACTGGCACTGGTATGGCCTGTATAATATAGGCATGTAGTCATCACATGTCATTATAGTAAGGTTTAGAGTCTCACTATAAAGAGGTCATAAAAGCCTCTGGCAATAAAGTCCCTTTTGAGATCTATGGGTGATAGATAGATAGTTATTGGTAAATTTGCAGAATCTAGTAACAATGTCCATGACAATAATGAGGATATGAGCAGTTTACATTATGCAGTCAGATCCCTGTGAGTCATAAGCACACTAAGTAACATTTGAATAAAGTGTGAATTGTGGAGAGACCTATAGAATAGTTGGAAGACCTGGAATAGAACATGTGTTCTGCTATGCTAAAAGCAGTGAGGTATTTATAACATCTTGTGCTACCATTACTGACAATATTGAAGAAGAAGAAGGAGAAAAAGAAGAAAAAAACCTTCATGTGATGACTGCCTGCTTATATTATACAGGCCAAACCAATGAAAGATAACTCTAAACTGAACCCCTCCCCCAGCACTCCCGACTCAGTACTTTATACCTCCATCTGTAAGTGGTTGAGATCAATAGCTCAGGGTGTGCAGCTCGGTAAAGAAGAACTATGCACAAAATATTAATAATCACAAAAAATCTTAACAAACCTTTCCTTGGCCCGTTTTCTAACTTCCAAGCTGTGCCAGGAGCTCGCAGATCCCAGCCCACAATGGAACCATAGACAGTGGCATAAGTCAGCACAGACTGACAACCTGTAACAATAAATGAATAAAAATATTCATCATCTGGAAAGCTCTTTTATTAAGCCTAAATCTCTATCACATAATTTCAGAAGAATATGCACTAAGTGTGTAACAAATCATAAGGATCTATTGTGTACTTCCTAACAAATGAACAAATGTAATATATCTTCCATAAAACAATTCAATATAACAATGAAATAGTAAAGTCTCTAAAGTCAGTATATGAAAATTAATACATTTTAAAGATATGCACATAAATTACTAAAAATCAAATAAAAAGCAAAATTAAATCAGAAAAACTATATTTATTCTTTTTAGCAAATAATTGGATGGATAAACTACAGAGAGGTCTCACCTGTATCAAAGTAATTCATGTCTACCACATACCCATCTTCTTCTGTATTTAACTGTCTGCTACTCACAAGACTCATTTTATCCAGCCTTGACGACAAGAAGACAAGAAGAAAAATGAAACAGAAAAAAACTGGGAAGGAGGGCTAGAGATAATAACAAATGTTTTTATTCTCTAACTCATGATACTGTACTTTCACTTCATATATCACAGCTATAATTTTTTTTCAACAGATCACAGTATTTTCCATTTACAAATCAAAGATGTTCTATTTTCATGTAATGTATCTTACTGCTCTCATTATTACTCTATAAAGAAAATGCAGACAACTTTGCAAAAAAAAAATCTTCAGCTGTATTAATACTTATGACTTAATTCATGAATTTTCTTGAAAACTTACTTGATAACATGTATTGATCCATTATTAGAAGCTGAGGCAAGACTCTGGTGAGTAATACAAGGAGCAATTGAGGTAATAACTCCACCCTGCCTGTTATATGTTGCCTTTGACCTGTTAAAAAGTGAATTAATGCTGAATTTCATACACTGAATAAGCTCATAAATAAGCAATTTATTATCATTTCTGTAATCTAAACAAAGCAAATAAGTGTGAGTCCACAAATCATACCTATTAATGGGAAACTTCCTCTCAATACGATTACAATCCCAAACTTTAACAGTCCCATCATTAGAGCAGCTGACATATATTGATGTGTCTCCCACAGGAACAAGTCTGCAAAAGGTAGAAGGAATAAGAAGGAATAACTATATATACACATGTCAAATTGTTCATATATGGCCAAGAGTTTATTGTCAATAAATGCTTATAAAAAAGACAAATAAAAATGAAAAATCATTACACATAAACCCACCTGTTTACTGCTCCCCGATGCTCATGCAAGTGTGCAACCAAGTGTCCTCTTGGTCGCCATCCAGGAGGAGGCAAACGTGTATCCCAAGCAAGGGTGTCCAATGCACGCTTCTTCTTGACACACACAAGGTGTTCCTCCCGTTTGGTTGCAATGAGGCTCTCTAGCTCTGACTTGCAGCTGGATACACATTCTGTGCAGAGTTTATTTTGTGATGAGATGTATCATAAGGCGATATGTTTATTACTGATCTTTCAATGTTTTACTTTAATTATCCTTTTCCCTTATTTAGTTCCTAAGCTCATTAGTACTGAGCACTGAAGAGTATAAACTGATACTTTTTTTTTTTTTTTACAGGCATTTTCTTAGTTTCATCCAACTTTCAAACAAAATGACACAGAAAAACTCGCCCACTGCTCTCTCTTTCTATATCCCTACTTTAGTAATCCTCTCCTCTCATCACAGCACCAAACATGCCCCATATACTTACTGATAATGCCCTTTTCTCCTCCATCTGATGGTGGCAGTTTAGCAGCTGGAGCAGAGGAGGTATGGGCACTTGGGTCTGGTTCCGTGGGTGATACTGACCTGTGGAAGATGTTAAGGTTTAGAGAACTTCTAATTCATAAACTGTATGATCACAATAGAAAAAGTGGCTTGTTATGATAAGAACTGGAATCTTTTGTGCATCATATTAAATAAACAGATGTTTGATGATGGTAATGATAATGGTGATGTTGAGGAGGGCTAGAAGATAAGCTTGACATGATAATAAAGATGATGGTGATGATAATGGCAATAGTAAAGATGAAGACACGTAAGATCATCTAGTCTAAGACAGAGGAGTAAGAAACATGAAATACGCTACCTGTTGTCAACTGTTCTGTTGGGTGATACCCGATCTTCTGCCATGCCAAACATTGCTTGCCATTCCTCGTTCATAGTCATACTTGGAGACTGAATCATTCCCTTCTGGGATCTGAAATAAAAGTCCAATCAAAATGTTATTTTCCTTTTCTTTCATGAGAATGTATATATTTCCACTGTATGATATCATATTACCAAACAGAAATAGCATAAAACCATCATTTTTTTCAAAGCTACAAGATCATCATACATCATATGCACACAAAAATGATTTATTAATCATGGCAGCAAACTTACAGACTGAGTGTTGAGATATCAACTGAGCCGTCTTCAGGTAGCAGACTGCAGTGATGGGTTGGAGGTTGCTTCTTCAAATCCTCCAAGTTTATCTTCAAAGGAAAACCAAATATGAAAAAGCATCTTTCAGATGTTAAATGTAAAAAAAATCCATATTCAGGAAGATGAGAAGGAGGAAGAAAAAGAGGAGGAGGAGGAAAAGGAGGAAGAAGGAGAAGGAGTAAGGAAGAGAGCAAGGAAGAGGGAACAGATAAAGGAAGAGAAGGAAGAGGAGCAAGAAAACAGAGGAATAAGAATAAGAAATAGCAAAGAAAGTCAGAGGGATAGAGAGAGGAGGGGGGATGGATGGATGGGGGGAGGAAGGCAGGTAGGAGGGAGGGGGAGGGGAAGAGGGGGAGAGGGGGAATGAGAGAGAGAGAGAGAGAGAGAGAGAGAGAGAGAGAGAGAGAGAGAGAGAGAGAGAGAGAGAGAGAGAGAGAGAGAGAGAGAGAGAGAGAGAGAGAGAGAGAGAGAGAGAGAGAGAGAGAGAGAGAGAGAGAGAGAGAGAGAGAGAGAGAACGTCTTACCAATCCAGGGACCTGTTGCTGCTGCAGACTATTTCTTGTTGCCTCTGTTGCTTTTTTCTGTCTCTGTAGCCTTGTGAGGTGGTCACGCATCAGCAGAAGCTGCTCTACATTCTCTTCGACCAAGCCTCCACCAACCAGTCGACGCAGCAACTGGGTGAATTATCAAGAGTTAATGCTACGTTAAACAAAATGAAGAAGGGAAATTAATTCTTTACTCATGCTCATGGAGTTTGCAAGTACCTTGTTATGAAATTCAGCTGTATGCATATCAAAAATAAGGAAAAGAGAGTATACAAGAAAGCAGATTTATTTGATTCAAAGTCTTTAACCCCCAATTACCTTTGTTACTGAGCTGGCCATTTCCATCATGTAATAAGAAAAAACTAGTACCAAAATGAACATTTCAAGAAAATTACTAAAGAAAGGTGAATGTATATAAAGCTGGATAAAAATTAGCATGACCAAATACAGAGAATCAATATATAGATAATTTCAAGGTGACCTACTTAATTCCTTAATTACAACAGATAGTCACAGGGATTCGGAATATATAAATTGCATAAAAATAAAAAATCTGCCAATACATCATGTAAAACAATGAAATAATATAATCTGACATTTAACATGAAATGCTAACATCTTGGCACTGAGCACTGTGGCTTTATTATTTTATTTTATTTACAGATAGAAGGGTTTACAATCACTTAGTCACCAAGGAGTTACCTGCTAAGTCAGATCTTAAGTTAGATCTTCTCACTATCATTATTAAAAAATCATTAACAAGAATGATAGTAACAATAATAAAAAAAACTTTCAATGAACAGGGTAAACAGGTGAGGTCAGGTAGGCTTTGTAACTGTCTCTAGAGACTAAGCACTTCTGTATAACATAAAACTGCAGTGGACAAGGCAATTTCCAACAAATTCACATTTCATATACCAGAAAATCTAATCTAAAAGGGTGTATGTACCTCTTCTTTCACACCATCTTAAAAATAACCTTCCAATACAAATTCCTAAATTTAATACAGAACTTACATTCCTGGTGGGATGGTCAAGGTGCGAGAGTGTAGTTGGAAGCTGAGCTAGAGGAACCTTCTGCTGTTGAGCTTCCTGAAGGAGTGAGAGGACCTGGCCCACGTCAGCGCTGCGAACTAAGGCATCGTACACCTCACGAGATATTGGTGGACGCAGGCATGAGAGGATACATACCTTGGAGAGGGAAAATGTCCTTCACTGATTCTTCCATAATAATCAAATTAAACTGTCATAAACTATATCTTATCATTTGTTAAAATGTTCTTGTAATTAGCTCAAATTATAACAAATAACACAAAAGAACTGAATGTTGCACAATAAAATTACATGGATTCAGAATGAACACATCTGAACAGCAAATAAACATACTTCTCTGTGCATTTGCAGAAGAGGCCTGACCAAGAATGGCTGGACTCTTGCCACCACTGCTGTCTGTACATCAACCAGAGGCAGCAATCTGGCAACCACACCGACTAATGCCACCACAGCCTTGAGGGATGATTTTATTTGATACAAAATTAATGATCTCTATTTCAATATTCTTTCTTATTCTACTATATCTGTTTATTTACAACAATTTACCAAAGAAGAAAGTTTCAGGACAATATCCTCTGAATGAAATACTTAAAGTTTGAATTTCAGGGCATCCAATCTTATTCAGGATTCAAAAAAAGTAAAGAAAATAGAGAGAGAGAGAAAAAAGTTTTATTTCAAAATGCTATAAATTTTCAAATCTAAAATAAAAACATACTTGTCTTATCCAGAGGTTTGGGTGGATGAGCAAAGGTGCGGTATGAGCCAAGAGGTCACACTGCAGATAAGTTGGGAAGAGGCCTAGCTCTGTCAGTGCTGTCATGGCCTCAATGGCTGCCACCACCACGGACTCCTCAGCATCACTTAGTCCCTGTTTTGAAAATGGTCTATGAATTTTCAAACCTTCCAACCCATTTTCAGAATACTTCAATAACAGCAGATAAAAATTATCCATATTATCTTTTATAATAGTGTCAATCTCATTCAACCTTTATACACAAATTAAACTAATGACCACTGTCAATCCGCAATGCATTCAACCATCCACAGTAAATTATGGTTATATAAGGACCTGAAGGAGGAGTGGTTTGAGAATGTCTGCGCAATGACATCCGATATACGCAGCAACACCAACAATGCTTGTGAAGAAGGACATGCGCAGGTGGCGGTCATGCTTGTCGTTCAGGAAGGTGATCATGTGGGACAGCAGAACGTCATTTGCTGTGTGGGGGGAGAGTTCCAGAACATTACATAAACCTTCTAAGACTGTGATTAAGTTGACTGTATTGCTGGTATGAAAGGCAGGTCTTTCCATGATGATGGGGGATATCAAGTTGTTATGGTGACTGTGCTTGGCATATCCAACCTTATGCACTAACATGTGAAAGTGGTTGAATGTAAATTATATATATGAATAAACTGTGCTTGTTTACAATGCTATGAAGACCTATTGTATGAAAATATGATAGTTATCATAGTAAATAACACAAGATATTTATACCAACATTATACAAGTACCAAATTCAGCTCTACAGTGATCCTTATTCAAGATAGTTATGAACATTTTATTTATCATTATAAAAACATAAACAACTTTTCAGACCCTATCATTAAACTGAATTCACAAAAAATATATTTGCATACAAAATACTGTAGCATGACTTGACAAAAAGATAAACTAAAAACTGGGAACTTCTTACCTTTCTGCTTTCCAAAAAACACACACAATTTGGTAACTGTTTTCTCCATCAATGTCCGCTTCACCACATTAGAGGGGTCAGAGAACATGGTTGCTACTTTCTGTTGAATAACTTCTTGCAAAGTTGCCAATTCTGTTTCATAACTGTAGGATGTCATCATGCCTTGGAGTTGGCTGTACTCAAGAAATCTAGAAAAAGATGCAGTTTGTTAAGCTTTGTTATAGTAAAGGACTTATTAAACTTGCAAAAATAATGGTTTCCATTGTTAATACCTACCTTAATGCAGTCTCAGCAATGGTGGCTATATTTTCTGCATAGGCTTGTCTCACAATTACAGCCTCATCTTGTGTAATCTGAAACAAATATCCAATATGATAATCAAATGAAAACTCAAGAATGTAAAAGTGTACATTCTAAACACAGGCACAACGATCATAAACAGTCATAAATGAATAACTATAAGATACATCTTTTACTGATAACCATGCATTGAATTGTAAAAATCCTGAAAAAATACAGTTATATCAAAAATTCAACATTGAAAATTCTCTTCAACTAAAAAATAAACAAATAAACAAACAAAAATCATTTCAAATCTTTGAAAGAACATTATATTTACTAAATAAAAGAAAAGGTAAAAAAAAAACAGTGCTGCATTGGCTAAAAACATACTACTTCATTAAGAAAATAACACAACACACTATTCAAAATGAAAAATCTTTAGACCTAAGGACAGCCATGAAAGGAAAAAATAAAAGTGCAAAAAATCAAGAACATGCTACATGAGAAGGGAGAAAGTTTGTCACTTCTTGATACACTTACATCAGCCAGGTTTGGCAGGATGTATTCGGGGAATATGTTGACATCTGATCGCGGGACTGATGAGACAAGGGTGAGGCAGTGTGTGACAGTGTGGAGAGCGAAAACACGCACTCTAGGCTCACTATCATGAAGAAGATGAAACTGGAAGGGTAAATTCCATAGATGAAGTAATTCTATGTACAGGTAAATCCATGAAATTTAGAAAAATGAATCAATAAGATTTCAGAAATCAATGGAATTGAATTTAGGAAAATTGAAGAAATTTTTGAATTCATTTGAAATCTAATAAAATCTGAAACTGATACAATAATATAAAAATGAATATTTGAGAGGAGGCTTAATCTATGAAACTATTCTTAGGAATAATCATAAATAAGCAAATATCAGGGATATATAATTCCATTATAAAACAATAATCATCACTCCGAGCACATTAGTACCAAATTTCTTTACTACTTACAGTATATGGCAAAATACGATCTAGAATGATTTCATCAGGAACATAATGTGACACTTTCCCTAGTAACTCCAGGGCATCTAACTTGGAAGATATAAAATGAAGGGCCCTGATAAAAGAAGAAAAATAATCAATATTCGATGCAGGCATCAAAACAAATTCTTTATCAATCTTTTTTCATCCATAATTTCAGTCAGTCTAAAAATATGTCTTAGTGCCCTTCTAGTAGATGGCCTGCATATGAATTTCTTGGATTTGTACAAAAGCTCATATAATATCTTAAAAAAAAGCAACATCATCCTTTTGACCCCACAAATTTCAAATGAAATAATGCAATACATCACCAGAACATCTTTATTCTCATCAAGTCCTTGCTTCAAGCATGTCATAAAACATGAAAATGTCTTTACCTGATTGATGAGGTAATAAGTGATGCTATGATGATGAGAGCTTCACATTTCCTTTCTGGTTTCTCCTTGTCTTTCTTCTCTGAGTCATCTTCTTTGTCCACTTCCTTATCATTCTCATCTTCAGCTCCTAAGGCTATCAGGATATCACTCATACTATTCTTTATTCTGTAAAAATAACATATACAAAAAAATAAAAAAAATAATAACCTACAGAAAAAAAGATACATATAAGATGCACGGATGTATCTATTTAAGCACAAGAACTACAGATGATAAGGTCAGTGATAAACAGAAACATTAATCTAAAAAGTGAAAACAGAGAAGAAAAGAACTGAAAAATATCTGAAATCAAATTTCCAAACTCACTGCTTGATTCTGTCATCATCAGGCATTATGGGAGTGACGGCAAACTGCTTGAGGAAGGGCCAGAGGAATGTGTAGAAGTGCTGTGGGAATGTCGTCCCTCGCTCCTGCTCCAGGTACTCTGCGACACTGTGTCTGCTCTCGGGATCTTTCTGGATCATGTGCTCCACCAACGACTGTTCAATGGAAGGAAAGTAATAAGTAAGAAAATTGCATACCTATTTTTAAATATCTATTTATTGATTATATTGTATTGTGAAACGTATCCATGTTGACAAATGTAGAAAAGGTATGAATGAGACTGGATATCTTCACAATACAAGAGATGTATTTGACCGGTTTCGATTACGTCTTCATCAGAAATACATGATGAAGACGTAATCGAAACCGGTCAAATACATCTCTTGTATTGTGAAGATATCCAGTCTCATTCATACCTTTTCTACATATTGTATTGTGTTATATAATATCAATTCACCTTTCATAATCATTAAAATATTCTAAAATATCTCTTATGTATCAGTAGTCTCATTGCTAGTTTCACAAAACATCAAATACATTGGTTAAAAGATGCTTAGCTTGTCCCTCGAACGTCTATGAAAAGTCAAATTCGTATATCCTTCATGCTTACATCAGTCTTAAAAAAATACTGGAGGAAAAAAAAGAAAAAAGAAAGATTGAAAAGTGTTAAAACAAAACATGTATAACTGGATCATATATATTACCCTAACTCTAGGATCATCAATCTTATCCAGGACTTTGGTGGGATAATAGTCTCCCACACGGTATGCCAGGAGCTGTGTTAAATCAAAGGGTGCACAGCCTTCGGTGAAGAGCTCTGCCAGACAACATCTGAAACATAAACATTAATTTAATAAACAATGCAGATTCAAAATGTAAGTATATGGCAGAAAATATAAGAAGACTTTATGTACTTGCAGTAATAGTGATAGTGATAGTAATAACAACAGTATCAATACAAAGAAGATAAACAATTGCATCAGTGCAAAATATTCCAAGGATATACATTCCAAAAAAACACCTGCACATTTGCGAGATGGGGCTGGCACACCTTCAACACTTAGGAAAAGGCTAATAAATAATCATGTATAATCTGCCATGATTGTAGACCCCCTGGCAATATATCCCCACAGAGAAAACCAGCCTCAACCTTATTTTGCAAGAATATGGAGGTTGGCTACTGTTTGCCCGAGTATGAAGCACCACTGTCATCACAAAGCATGTGTTTCAAGTGGAATAGGATAGAATATAGCAAAAATAACTGAAAACCATAAAGGGTACCTTCTAAACATTTACTAGCACATCATTTGGATGTAGTATTCTGATATCCAGATAACTTCAGCAAAAAGGTTCTTACCCAACCGAAAATACATCCATGGCAGGGGTGAGAGTTCCTGTATCCTTTACCGGCATTAGAAGCAACTGCTGTGCATCCCTTTGTACAGTCTTAATAAACCTGAGGAAATATTTCAGATTTTTGGGTAGTAATTAATAAGAGTAAATTTACATTTCAAATACATATAAACAGAAAACATATAAATAAATACATGAATTAACGCAAACATACATTGACAAATTTATACATCTATCACTGACTGACTCACTCTTTACAAGGAAGCATTTCAAAAAGCTTGAGCAACTTTCTAAAATAGCAATTTTTCTAAATATGAATATTTCTAGCCACTGACAATAATATCATATGAACCAAATTCAAAATCAAGCTGACTGTACAAAAAGGTAAGATTTCTTTGAACACATCTTTTACTATAAAACCTGAACACAAATATAACTAAAATGTTCTCTAGAAAATAAATCCTCCAAAACAACACAAACCTCTCAGGTGCAATATAACAAATTCTTCTGCGGGAAGTATCAAAGAAGTAGGTGTAATTTGCTGGGTCGTCCTCAGGGAGCAAAGTGGGCTTCACTGTCGCAAAATCAGCGAGCAAGAGCCAATTCCATGAGGACACCATGACATTCTCTAGCTTAATGTCTCCATGGCACACCTGGATGCATCAAATATCTATAAATCTTAAATGCATTTACTGCTTTCTTCCATCTTCAAAAATCAAAGCAAATATAGATACTGATAATATAATTTTTTTATACTGGTAAGACCCCCATCAGTTCCTGTACTTACTCCTTGCTGATGGACTTGGTTCAGTGCACACAAGAGCTGGAATGCTAGCCATTTCTTCTCTATCGGAGTCAGGAAAGGACGTGTTGATATTCTGTCATAGAGGTTACTCTTCACATACTGTCTAATCATGAATGCTGCTTTCTCTGTCACCTGCAAAAAATGCATACATCCACAGATGATATCATCTTTGTCTGGATGGAAGGAATGAAAGATAAAAAACAAACAAATAATACACCTACATGAGTGTGTATGAGGGGCAGGGTGTTTACATAAATCCAAAAATAAATTATAAGAAACCAACAAAAAGGAAAACTCACCCGCACATAATGAAACTGGAGACAATTTGCTGCGGTTATTAACTTGGTTGACACTTCTTCAACCATTTTCTTGTACTTGTTCAGTTGCAATGAAGTGTCGTGAATCACAAACACTTTCACAACTACCGAGCCTTCCCAGGTCTGACATGTTGCAACTTTGAAAAAGCGAGTGCTGCCTAAGCTGTTGAACAAAAAAGGATTAAAATAATAAACCACACATTTGAAGCAATACATTGGTCATCTACTTGTGATATTTGTATTTCTCAGAAGATTTTTTAAACTATTAAGTAGCATAGGAATACCAAGAATACAGTTTTCATTTTAGGGTTATAATGCCAGTATATCAAAGTATTCCAATGAAAAGAATATTCAATTACAAATTAAAAAGAGAACAAAATACTCACCTAGTTTCATATGTAACATCAGGCAAATCAGACAGATACGTTTCCACAGGGAATATCTGTGATGGAGCAATGCCTGCAAGCTGGTTACCCATATCTATCTGCCTGTAATATATTTGGTCTTATGAAAGAAAAATATTCCAAATAGATATTTCTATTTACAACAGTAGACTTTTCTAACTTTGGGAGGTGGTATGGAATGCTACTGTGATTAAATAACTTTGATTATTTTCCACTGGTTTGAGTCATAGTGATAAGTAAGGCAAGGACAGTAATTTGACACTCTTTGGATAACTCAAATTCATGAGGGATCCTACAAAAGCTTGGTAATGGTACAGAAAATGAATACATTTCATCTTTGCCAAAACAAACCCAGTAGTATTTTTTTTTCTTTTTTGTCAAGAAATGTTGACGATAAAAAGGCTATAGTAAGTGCTTGAGGTCCTACAGGAGGATTTACAATAAGAAACCTAGGTTTACCTTCATTCATACAGTTTGCTTTCTTTGGTAAAAATTGCCTTTTCATGCAGTCTTTAATCCACTCAATCAAGAGTGACATTCTTTCACATTATGGCCTAAACAATTATTTAAGCTACATCTAAGAGCATGTAGAGTGGGGTAAATTTATGTTTCAATACACTCCTCATTTCTCCTTTAAACAGCTGACTCTACGTACACCCAAGCATGAGGTTCTGTACCCAGTTGGAAAATGTCATTTTCCGCAGACACATTGTAGTGAGAAATGACAATGTATGGGCTGTGCTAAGGACATTTACTGAGTGAGCAACATTTATAATTTTTCAATTTTATAATATAACGAAGTGACAATAATTAAGTGATTGTCATTCATATTTGTTTTTGAATATGAATGGACTTTGTTTCGTTTTGTTGTGTTAGTTATGTTGGAATTCAAATATGTGCAAGAAAGAAAATTGGCTGTGAGCAAAAACTGAACTGAAGATTGGTGTCACTGCGAGTATTTGCGTGCTTTCCAACTTGCGTTCAGCATAGCAGCACAAGCTCCAATTGTGACTGGATTAAAGACCTGGTCTCACTTTTTCTCAATAACCATCCAGTACTTCCTTCAAGATTTCCTATAACTTGGTGTGGTCTTTGGACATTTTTCAGGATAGCCGCTCAAAATGGATCTGGAGGATACTGGTAACAATGGATTCCTCTCATTCTCTATGTCCCAAATATAAAGAAATTATTGCATGAAAACCTCCAAACCCCCACATTCTTGGCTCTGATAGCAGGGTGAGCGTGAAAGGTACCTGGGAAACTGCGGGTTAAAACGTAAATAAAGTACGCAGAATCAGTCATTATATTGCCACCACCTCAGTCCCCTCAGGAAAATAAAAAATCCTCCACATATTCATAGCAGGAGAAAGCGTCCAACAGACTTGGCATCGGGTGCTTCCAAATGTCGGTCATACGCTCTCTCCTGCCATGAATACGTGGAGGATTCTTTGTGCTCCAATGCTGAGGTTGGTTGGCAGCAACAACCCATTAGGGGATATGCAGGGGCGACAGGCCCCCACGTTAGACACTATCGTGTCTGAATCTGTGTATATCATTCATATTTTATTCTGCAATTTCCTGGTACCTCTCATACCCTCCCCTGCTATTGAGGCCAAGAATGTGGGGGTTCGGGAGACATTCGCACATGACAGAGAGGAATTCATCCATACCAAAATCGTTGGGATCTGGTATGAGCTGCAATTCTGAAAATTACCTGATGAATGAATTTTTCTCCCATGATGATTTCCAATTCCTAATAACTGACAATCCTGCAGTGGGCTAATGAAAAGCATAAGCCTAATCACTCAAAAATAACACGATGAAATAACAGAATCCCTATCCAAATGAACGAGCATGGAAGGCTATGGACGACAATGACAATGGCCTTACAAAACGCAAATTCTTTTCGAGTTCTCTCTCACCATCTATCCATCTCAACTGTTACTATAAGATCATCTCCTTTAGAGAAATATGCTTATATATCGACAAAATAAATAAATTAGAATGAATATAACGGAGCGAAGACGAGGGATATGAAATACGTAGACGCTTCATATAATGTACCCTATATATAATATCCAACACCATTCTCATACCATAATACCAACTGCATCTTATGCATATTGTAATTTCATCATTATCTACCTGAAATTTAATGGCTTTACTCACTTTGGCTTCAAACTACGACAATTAAAAGTGAAATACGTCGACTACTGCCATTGTCAGCTGATGTTGTTTATTCT